TTCTTGCCAAAAAAATGACGTCTGGACGAGAAAATTATGAAATCCTTTTGAACCAACAATCCTGTTTATAGGAAATTCCACATCACGTCACATCCAATCCAAATGTAATTATTTATTTATCGTAAAATCTTTAAAGGATCATCTGAAGAAAACTTGGGGGTGTTTCAAGTCACAGCAATTGTTCGGTTACAACTAGCACCCCCCGAGCCAATCACAGGCCAGCATCAGTGAGCCTCCTCTCGGTTCTAAACGCTAACACATGTACATTCTTCTCTGTTCTTTCTAGAAAAAAAAACGCAGCTGGAACTTTAAAAAGAAAATTCACGCAGGTTTTCTGTGGAGTTCCCTTCAAGAACAAGAAACGGAAATTGAAAAAAAAATAAATAAATAAATATATACATACATATATATAGACTATATTTGAAGTAGTAAATGCTGGAGGTGCTTTACTTTGTAATCATTATGTAACAGCAAAAATGATACTCACCAGTACTCCTTCCCTCCCCCCCTCACTCCCTGACGGTCAGGTCAGTCGGGTCAGGACAGTAGGAGCAGCGATGGTGAGTTCTCACTCCTTCATAGTACTACATTAGTACTACACTAGTACTGCACTAGTACTGCAAATAATTAGGAGGTTCAAACTGTGCTTTTCCTTCACAGACGACGTACACGGACAAAGGAGAAAAGGTTGGTGGTTAAAAATGATTTCTCTGGGAATCGAACCCATGACTCTGCCACCGTGGCACGCGTGTTAACCACTACGCCACGGAACACCGTGTTGCAAGAATGATGCAACGTCTTTGACTTTGACTTTCTTCTCGTCTCCAGCACGATCAGGGCCGGTTCCTGTGCTTCGACCACCTGACCTTCTGGGTCGGAAACGCCAAGCAAGTACGTTAGCGCACAAGTCCGACTCTTACGCCTAAAATGTTTTTTTTCTCCTTTTCCCCATAGAGGGGGTCAGTATGTACTGGTACCGATCTCTGGTACACTGGTAAAATTGTCAATGGTCAGGAAACAGGCACATTATAATACAGTGGTTCTCAAATGGGGGTACGCAGACCCTCGGGGTACCGAAAGCAATGAAGAGGCTACGTAAAAAATTTAAATAATAATAATAATAAAATTGTTTAGTGTTTTAATATAAATTTAAACCCTAACATTTCCTTTTGTTTTTGTTGCTCTGATTTTTGATATCGTTTTATCATAGGTTCGAGTCACAGCAATCACTCGCAGAATTTTTTCATTTTGTTTTTTTATCTACACATTGAACATCACCGAAACAGGGGTTTGAGAACCGCGGGGCTCATTGTTCGCCAACAGAGGGCACTGTTTGACACGTGTTCGATTCTTTTTCTCAGGCTGCTTCCTATTATTGTAACAAGCTGGGATTCGAACCGTTGGCCTACAGGGGCTTGGAGACCGGCAGCCGCGATGTGGTGTCGCATGTGGTCAAACAAGACAAGGTAAAGTAGCTCCAGCTTCATTGGCTCTTTAACATAGTGGTGTCCAAAGTGAGGCGCTCGGAACAAGTGATGTGAGAGTCAAAGATTTCACAGCAGCCACTGAGAGGATGTTGGTTCAGATAATTCAAGTCGCAAAATTATTTCTTTTGATGGCGCTCTTTCACTTTTGTGGAAACAGAAATATATTTTTTGTATTTTCTTTTTTTCTCTCGTTTTTGTTAAAAAAAATCTGTTTTGTAGAATAAAAAAAAATCAGTGGAGTTTCAACAATAGCTCCCCAAAAGGGGGCGCTGTACATGTCAATGTGAGAACATCAGTTTTTTGAAGCTAACATATATTTTTCATGTTTACTTTCCACCTTACAGATCATTTACGTTTTTTCTTCTGCCCTCAACCCCGGAAACAAAGGTAAGGCTCAGGGGAAAACACTTGGACCGCACAAAAAATTTTAGGGGACGCTTTTTTTTTTGTACACGTAAATGTATAATAAATTATTCTTTAGAGAGTTACGGTTCAGGAGTTTAACTGTTAGCACGACGTGATAAACGAACCGAAAACGTTCTCCTCAGAGATGGGAGAACATCTGGTGAGACACGGGGACGGCGTGAAGGACATAGCGTTTACCGTGGAGGATTGTGATTTTATCGTGAAGGTATTTTTTTTACTTTAAATTGGAATTTTTAAAAGTTTTTTTTTATAAACGCAGTTTCTCATCCTGATTTTTCTCTGATTTCAGAAAGCCAAGGAGAACGGTGCAGTGGTCGTGAAGGAACCTCACACCCTGGAGGACAAACACGGCAAAGTCCGACTGGCAGTCCTCCAGACGGTCAGAGACATCACCTAGATTTGGTTCAACTAGAAAAAAAAAAAAAAAAAAAAAAAATCAAATATATGTCCTCCGCTGCAGTACGGTGACACCACACACACTCTGGTGGAGAGGATGGGATACAGCGGCCTGTTCCTGCCAGGATTCCAATCTTCTGCGGTCAAAGACCCTTTATTGGCCAAACTGTACGAACACCGTTGTCGCTCAGCTGTTTTCACCTCCCATGATGCAGTTCTCCCATTAAATATATTCTTTGATTTTCAGTCCCGGTGGGAAGCTCAACTTCATCGACCACGTCGTGGGAAACCAACCCGACGACGAGATGGTTCCGGTCGTGGAATGGTAACGTTTTCCTAAAGATTGACGGACGATCGGACGCCAGTCACAGATCAGCATGACTCTGCGTTTTTTTTTTGTTTTTTTTTAATGGCTCAGCTGTGGTTTTCACATCTGGAGCTCGTTTGGAGACAAGAGAGGTCGAGAGGCCGTTCTCTGAACGGGCTCCATCATTGGTCGATTTCAAAAAACAGGGGGGGGAGGGCGTGGGAGCTAAAAATGATGTGAACGTGGTGGAGAAGAGATTTGACATTTGAAATAATCGAGGATGATTTCCGCGCTCGTCACCTCTGACGAATGTTCCCCTGGTGCCACAGGTATCGGAGGAACCTCCTGTTCCATCGGTTCTGGTCGGTGGATGACAAGCAGCTGCAGACGGAGTTCAGCGCCCTGCGCTCCATCGTCGTGGCCAACTACGAGGAGACAGTGAAGATGCCCATCAACGAGCCGGCGATTGGGAAAAGGAAGTCTCAGATCCAGGTGAATGTGACGGGAAGTTCTCACAGCGAGGGGTTGGACGACGACGATGAAGACAGAGAAGAGAGCTAATCTAATCTAATCCAAACGAATCTAATCCAATACAATGTAAGCTAATCTGATCTAATCCAAAACAAATCTGATCTAATCTAATCCAATCTAATCCAGTCCTATCCAATACAATGAAATCTAATCTGATCTAATATAATCCAATCTAAACGAATCCTTTGTAATCTAATCTGATATAATCCAATAGAAAATGAATCCAATCTAATCTAATCTAATCTAATCTAATCTAATCTAATTAAATGTAAACTAATATAATATAATCAAATCTAAACAAATCCAATGTTATCTAATCCAAACAAATCTAATCCAATACAATGTAATCTAATCTGATCTAATCTAATCCAATCTAAACTAACATAACATAATCTGATCTAATCCAAACGAATCTAATCCAATCCAATGTAATTTAATCCATTCTAATCCAATCTAGTCCAATCCAATGTAATCTAATGTAATCTAATGTAAACTAATATAATAATAACAATAACCCAATGTAATCCAGTCTAATCTAATCCAATCTAATGTAATCTAATCTGATCTAATCCAATCTAAACAAATATAATATAAACCAATCTAATCTAATACAATCTGAACTAATATAATATAATCCAATCTAATCTAATCTAATGTAGTCCAATGTAATGTAATCTAATCTAATCCAATCAAAACTAATATAATATAATCCAATATAATATAATCCATCCAATCTAATCCAATCAAAACTAATATAATATAATCCATTCTAATGTAATCTAATTCAATCCCATCTAATCTAACCTAGGAGCATCTGACGTACTATCTATCCATCCACGTGTATCTAATCTAACCTAATCCAATCTAATCTATCTAGGAGTACGTGGAGTACTATGGAGGACCAGGAGTACAGCACATAGCCATGAACACTTCAGACATAATTACTGCAGTAAGTACTTTCTGGAGTACTCTGGAGTACTCTCTGGAGTACTCTGGTTTTGCCTTTGAAACTCTGCAGAATGAGCCTTTAATACGTCCATTTCTTGGCAGGTCACCAACCTGAAAGAACGCGGCATGGAGTTCATGTCGGTGCCCGACACGTATTACGAACAGCTGAGGGAGAACCTGAAGGGGTCAAAAGTCAAGATCACAGAGGACCTGGACGTCCTACAGGTCAGGACCGGGATTTTAGCCGCGACTCACAACGTATCAAGTATTTACTTCGAAACCGGCAGCAGACGTTTACGATCTTGTTTTCTCTCTCCGTTGCGAACCAGGGCTTGAGCATCCTGGTGGACTATGACGACAATGGATACTTACTTCAAATCTTCACCAAACCCGTCCAGGACCGGCCCACGGTGTTCCTGGAGGTCATCCAGAGACACAACCACCAGGGTTTTGGCGCTGGGAACTTCAAATCCCTCTTCGAAGCCATCGAAGCCGACCAGGCCGCCAGAGGAAATCTGACCGTGCTGACACCAAACGGAGACGCGCAGAACATCTGAAACCTCGTCTTTTATTCTGACACCACGTGGGCCACATGTGGGAGATGCTAATGTGGCCCACACACCGTGCTAACGCTAATTTGCTAATTGAGAATCCACAGACAGAAGAGTTAAAAATTGTGTCACGCTCAACAGAATTACGAATTATGAATTTTTTTTTTATATATATATATATATATGTACATTATAAAACAACACAGTCAACGTTAGCTACATGTTAAAGCTTGACTCAAGCAAAAAAACATTTGATTCTCGTAAATGAAAACGTTTTGTACGGCACATCGCAATGTCACCATCTCGTAATAAAAGAGCAAAGTGTTTCTGTTTTCCTCAGTTATTCACGATCCTTTTCTTCATTTTTTATCTCAAACACCGATATTGTAAATATCGGAAGTCAAGGCTAGCGTTGTAGTTCAGTTCAGTTCAAAGAACCGCGGCAGCCGTCAGCTTCACACAAACAGGGAATCTTGGTTTCCTCGATGGGGAACTTGTAGTCGTAGGTGATCTCCTCATTGATGCTGATTGGCTGCCGGGAGTAGATGACGATCTTCTTCTGGGACTCCACAGTGATGATCTTAGCGTAGCAGTTAGGCTGCGGGAGAAAATATGTCATATATAAATATTAAAATAATAATAAAATAATAATAGGTTTAATTAAAGGTTAGTTTTATATTTTTATAATTATTAAAATAAAAAACAAAACATTTTTTTCAGTAGGAATTTCAATAATGTGATCAGTTTCATCATCGTCAGAAATGCGCCGGTCTTGCGCATTTCCTGGTTTATTACGGCGGAGAAACGGCAGACGCGGCCTCAAAAACTCCGTCACTAACGTAACGTTTGTGAAGACGTGTATTTTACACATGTCCTCCCGCAATCCGAGAGTTATAAACTATCTTCAGTTACTGCATAAACTGCAGCGAAAAGACAGAGGGAATGAGGCAAACTGCACGCCGCACCAGAAGGTGCACACGTCCACTTTACGGCTTGTCGGAGTTCTTCCGGTTACAGGTCTGAGGCGCGAACGAGTTAGCCGGAAAAAGTCAAGTGCACCGCGGCGGAGTGTTTTGTTTATTTATCGATTTAAACTACAACACAACGAGTCGGTGGTTTCACTAGAGTGCGCAAAAGCGAATATAATAATAATAATTATAATAATATCAACGATAATGACGACAATAACGACGGTAATGTAGTCCAGGAGATTTAAAACTAGGACAAAGTGCGGACGTATACACGAGTGATCCGTGGAAAAACCCACAACAACGTCGTCTTCAGCTACAAATAAAAGGTAAAACTTTCAACCAAACGCTAACAATGTGACAGTGGGTGTTAACGAGGAAAAATGTAAAAGTCGTATGTGAGTTGTTGTTAACGGTTTAACTGTAAAACACTCGGTAGAAGCGGAACAAATGTGTGACGTTTTTGTCTTGGAGCTAGATATCCCTCCGCGCCGGCGGTCGTGGGAGAAAAAACAACATGGCGAAAAGATGTTTGTAATTAGTCTGTTTACATTTAATTAATGTGCTTTTTGGGTTTGTTTACGATTTAAGAAATTAAAAAAAGAAAAACCTTCAAATCAAAATATATAAAAATCTACTCGACTTAGCCAAACTAAATACGTTTCGTGCTTGTAAAAAAAAAAAAAAATTAAATACAACAATTTCGAAACGTTTATATTAATATTTTTGATGGGCACCATAACTCACATTACAGCTGTGGTTGATGAACCTCGCCAAATTCCCGCACTTTGTGGCGTCAATGATGGTGTCCTGGTCAACCCGGAACAAGTAGCTGCTCCCTATGCCCTCCTCCTCGTACCGCTGCTCCCTCATGTCGGCGATGACCTGGGGCAGAAGAAGAAGAAGACAGGAGTGACTGCCCGTTACCATCACCCCGCCTCACCCCAAGAACCAGAGAGGGTGTGAGGTGTGTGGGTCACCGTCTTACCTGTCTAATGACCTGACCGACATATTCTATCACCATCTCGTCTGCTGCGATGGGCTCCATGGCGAACAGGCCCCACTCGTGGATGTGACTGCGGCTGAAACAAATCCTTTTTTTCCGAAACTAAAAAAAAAAAGAAGCTAAATGTCAAGAAGAGACGAACGACTTTTGTTACCAGAGCTCCGTTTCACTACCAACTCTTACCTTCAGTTGGTTGAACTTCACTAGATCACTGTCACAGCTGAAAGAGGACAGCAGGCGGCGCTGTTCGGACCTGAAGTCCGATCCAGATCGCAGTAACGAGGTCTGCTGCTGTTGGTAGAAGAGGATTTGGTTTTTTTTAAACCTTCTAAAAAATAAAAGTATGAAGTTTTTTTTTTCGTAAGTCACCTGACTGTTGGTAGGGGGCAACAGTGTTTCCTTTTTTGTGTGTCGGAGGTATTTAAGTTTTTCTTTTCTGCTGATTTTGTAGAAGCCTTCGCAGCGAGCGCAGCCGGTCCAGTGGATCTGCGTCCAGTGTTTGTGTTCGTCGCTTGTCTCGCTCACGACTTTTGTCAGTGAACAACAAGTTAAAGAAAGAAAAAAAAAAACAGGAAAAACAAAACTTCATGTCGTATAAAAAAAAAACATACATATATATATAAAATGCCCCAAACATTTCATCTCCTGTCAGGGTAACTGCAGTTTGGTCTTTCCCCACAACCATCTTCTTCTTCTAGGTGTGTCAAACGTAAGGTTCGTGGGCCAAATCTGGCCACGTATTTTAAGCGTCCCACCAGAGCTTCTCTAAGGTCTGTACTAATGTGTACTAGATGGCAAATACTGACAAATACTGTGTGTATCACAAATGCTTAGCAGGTAACACCACAATTCTAATGTACACTAGCATAAACTACATATATCTTTTTACATATACAGTATATGTGTATGTATATATGTATATGTGTACATATATACTGTATATGCACATGTATAAAGTTATTCCCTCACATATATTCTTCCCTCACACACACATATATGTATATATATACACATACATATATATATACATACATATAGAAATACATAAATACATATATGTGGGTGCAAAGGGAAGAACCTAATATATGTATATATACATGTACATATATAAATTCTTCCCTCACACACACATATGTATATATATATATACACATACAGTACCTATATATGTACATATATACAATTCTTCCTTTGCATATATATTCTTCCCTTACACACATCCATCCATCCATCATCAACCACTTATCCGGGGCCGGGTCGCGGGGGCAACAGTCTGAGCAGGGACACCCAGACTTCCCTCTCCTTCGACACTTCCTTCAGTTCTTCTGGGGGCTCTAAAGCTGTGGAATCATGTTATCCTGACAGTCATGAGTCATGCCTTGTTATTTGGCTGCCCTTGGGCAAGTTTAGCTTTGGCAAATGGGGGGCATGCAATGTAAATGCTCAAGCCACCTCAGCTGACTCCTCTCAATGTGGAGGAGCAGCGGCTCTACTTCGAGCTCCTCTCGGGTGACAGAGCTCCTCACCCTATCTCTAAGGGAGCGCTCTGCCACCCTGCGGAGAAAGCTCATTT